AGAGGAGGGAAAGAGGGGGAGGGGGAGGGAGAGGGAGAGAAAGAGGGAGAGGAAGAGGGAGAGGGAAGGGGAGGGAGAGGAAGAGGGAGAGAGGGAAAGAGGCAGAGACGGCAAGAGGGAGAGAGGAGGCATAGAGGAGGGAGACCGAGAGACAAGAAGCACAGAGGGAGGAGAGGGGGAGAAGTGAGACAAGGGAGAGAAGGGAAAGGAGGGAAAGACATCGGTAAGAGAGCAGGGAAAGACAGGGAGGATGGAAACAATAAGAAATGGAGGGAGATGTCCGGGAAGAGGAGGAAATAGAGGAGGGGAGGAGGGGCTGAAGGCGAAAATTTAGCAAAAAGGAAGGCAGGACAGCAGGTTAGGAAAGAAAGGGCAGGAGAAGAATGGAGCACGGGAAGGGACGACAAGGGAAGGATGGAAAGAGGGCAGAGGGAGGGGGTCGGGGGCAAGGAAGTAGAAGGGGCCGGGAGGAGAAAGGAATGGGAGAAAGAGCGAGCGAGAGACGGAAGGAAGGAGGGAAAGACGGATGAACAGGAGCGGGTGAGGGACGGAGGTGGAGAAGAGAGGAGGGAGGCAGGTAAAGAGGAGGTGAAAAGGATCATGACCACTGGTAATCCATGACCTGGATAGCATTGTACACCCTCAAGGGGACATAAAGAAAGAGGAAAGGGTAGAGGCAGGGGATGTGAGGAGAGCAACCGACGAAGGGAGCGGGAAGGGGCAGAAAGGAGGTAGTCTACAAGAGGGAAAAACACCCAATCAATCATTGACAATCAACAATACCCACATTGGTCCAAGACGCCAAGACTGATGCTGCAATAAAAATAATATAACAACAAATAATAATGACCGATAGAGTCAATACCACAATGAGAGGAAAGATGTCCTGAATGCAGGATTATTCCAATCTCTCCAACAAAATCCACTCTAAGGTCCCTGATCGGTCTTCAGGAAGGAAACATTCCCTACCTGCCAAAACAAGGGCAGCAAGTCCGTAAGGATGATACACAAGACCTCGAAATACTTCCGGTTAGGAGGAAAAGTCCGAAAAGGCAAACAGGTTGGGACTACAGCTTACCCGGCAAGCGCGTCCCCTACTTTATTTCCCCCCTTCTTGGCCAGAAATTTGAATATCGACGGCAATTCACCAGAGCCAGGGAAACAGGGAATCATATAACACCAACCTCCCAGACCCCATCTCTCTCTCTCTCTCTCTCTCTCTCTCTCTCTCTCTCTCTCTCTCTCTCTCTCTCTCTCTCTCNCACACACACACACACACACACACACACACACACACACACACACACACACACAGAGACACAATGATGTCCAAGAAGCCCGTCTGATGATCGACGGTCAACGTTTCTCATTTTCTACTTCTAAAAAGATAAAATACCGAAACATGAAACCTCCATGGGTTAGAGAGTGCATATACAGGGTGGCCGAGGAGCCTTTCTCACCAATTACGTTACACACGGAGTTAAAGAAACGAAGAAGCTTCCTCGTCGGGTACATTACATTACATGAGATGATGTAGAAAAGCAATTTCTATCCGCTGCGACGGACATGGTGGTGAGCATGGGCTGTTCAATCTCCTCCTCCCAGAAAGGACCTCGTAGTTACAAAGTCTTGCCCCCCAACCTCCAGCACTTACCTCTCCCTCCCCCCGCCCTCCGCTCGGACATGTTGATCATATAACACTGGAAGGGAGAATTTTCTCGACTTCGCCAAAAGGCACTGAAGAATTTCACCGGCAATACAGCCCGCTTGAAAAAGATGGCATTCAAACATGATTTCTTTCCTCTGCCCTCAGGGATTTACTTCCCTCCTTTCTCCATTCTCTCCCCCACTCACTCTGCGCCTACCTCTCTACTTCACAGTGTGCTTTGCCCCCTTCCAGTACAAGGCCAATTCATTCAATCCATTGTGTGCTCTTGCTCCTCCCCATGCCTCGCTCCCAAAATACTCCTCCCTCTTTACTATCCTAAAAAAGGAGGGCACTTCACACCTCATCCAGGACCGCCAAAATACCCACAACTTCGTGTGGGCACTTCATACCTCTTGGGCGCCGAACGAACAAACAAGCACTGCTATCTACCACAAGGACAAAACTTAACCCCCTTCTCTTCCTGTACCAGTGGCTGCCGCTATTCCTATGACTGATGCTCAAGCGATTGCTGATCCTCAGGCTGGTGCTCCTGCTGCTACGTCTGATGTGCTTCTGTCCCTTACAGTGCTGCCGTTGCTTCCGCTGCATCTGCCGCAGAGGATGATCTTCATGGTCCTTCTCCAGGCACTCGAACTCCGAATTCCTCTCTCACGCCATCGCCACGAGTAAAATGGCATCGGGAATGCTGTTGCTGCTGCTAATGTTTGCTGCTGCTCTCTACGATCGTTAAGCGCTGAGGTCAATGCACAAGATTCCTTCATTAAGCGAACTATCGACCATGATGATGATTGATTGTCCACGAAAGAGTAGTAATCCAGGATTCCAACTACTCTCTCTCTCTTTGTAGAATCTTCGTATGTCAGCATGATCCATGGGTAATCCACGTTTTCCTGTGGGTATAAAGTCTCCTTTCAAAAACTCCAGTTCTCACAGGGTACTTAAACTTCACTAGCACAACACATAGTATGGGAACGCAGCATGGAGAGTACAGAGAGGCCCCAATGCTCGAACCAAACTACGCAGCAAACGTCAAGAATACAAGAAAATCCAGCTGGTACATTTCAACGGTCGTAAACACCAAAGAACCATTTTCGATGGGGTTCCTCACACAATCATAGTCCATAAAGGTTCTGCTATTTCCGATTTCCCTCACAGAGTACCGCATTTACATTACCAACCAACTCTCTTTGTGTACACGAACTACTCCCACAGTGTCATCTTCTGTCGCCAGGGGGACTTGCCCGTAAACCTGTCAAAAGGTCCTCTCGCTTTGGTATCTCTGCCCGTAATCCACATTTGCCTCTGCTATACACACAGAGGGAAGGAAATGACCTTCCTTTATCGCATCATATCTCAAAAATGACCTCCTTTGAGAAAACTAAGTTACAAACACAGCATCGATCAAGTCAATGCTCCAGCAGCTACAAACAAACAAGTAAGCAACCACAGTGATCAGCCAGCCCAACCTTGATTTGGCGTTGGCGGCCCCTACTCTAACGGAATGGAGTCCCTTGTGTTCATTTTCGTATTCGTACACTTGGGTTGCTTCCAGCCTTCTCCGGAAACCTTCGCTGCTTAGTAAAAGTACAGGTACACAGCTACACTCCGAGACGTTCTGCTACTCGCAGAGAGCACATTCCAAACGTGTAAGACAGCTTGTGAGACCCCCCTCCTCACAGTGCAAAGACGTCTACTTTTTCCATTCCCCCCCGGGAGATTATGGAGCAGATCACCCCGCCCAGGAAACCCTTTGTGACCTGGAGGACGACTCTTGACGAAGCTCCCCGACGATCGTTTGCAGGCCCCATCAATGAGCCCGGACGTTCAATTCGAGGCCCCTTCCAACGCCGCCCAATAATAAGAACCATTATCTCAGACACCTATCATCTCACGACTCCCGACTATGCCATCATTTTAAATAAGCGGGCGAGTTCAGTATGTCGTCTCTCTCTCTCTCTCTCTCTCTCTCACACACACACACACACACACACACACAGAGAGAGCTCCATCCAGCACCAATCCTCTCCCTGACGATGGGCTTGACAAACAATAACCATAATGTTTGACGCAAGAAGACGACGATAATGAATTTCCACCCATTTCCCCTACCGGTTGCCCTTTTCTCTCTCTTCTCGCACTACCCTCAACGATTTATATTATTTACAACCCACACCCTCCACACAGCCCCGCGTGCTTCATCCATCTAACCGGTTTCATAATTGTCACTCACGCTCGCTCGCTCGTAGGCATCTCGAACTCGTACCCTATCCGACTGCCTTCCTTCCTATGCCATCTTCCGCAACTGCTATCTGCCGACGCTCACCATGCGCCCCACGGCACTCGGATTGGTACCCCCTCCCTATGTTCCCCAGCGCACTCGGATCGATAGCCCTTCCCGCCCGCCTGCCGGACAAGCACTGCGCTTCTTCTTTCCATGGCAACCCCCCGATTCAATGGCAACCCCACTTCATACAAGCTTTCAATGACTTCTCTTGAGAACATCCATGGACGGACGTAAACATCCATGGACGGACGTAAACACGTTTCCACGGCGACGATTTCCAGCACACTTCTCGACAGACAGACAATACCGCAAGAACGACTCACCTCTTTAAAAATGGTTGCTGGTTGATACGGATGTAAGACCTCCGCCTCACGACGAGCAAGCAGCTGGGACGAACGCATCTAACCCGACGACGGTGGTTCGACGCTATCCATCATAACAGATTCCGCAGATACAGACAGATCGTCCCTTCTTTGATCGTTCAGCGAGGCATCATAGATGAGTCACGACACATTCGCATATCATCTCTCCTCGGCAGTTCTGGCAAACATCTCCCCCTTCCCCCCCCGGCTCTCCTCCCTGCCGCTGCTGCTCGTTAGCAGTGGCATCGTCTTTCGCCGTCCGTGCACTTCAACCCCACCCCAATGAACAGCAGCAACCGACTCCCCCCCTGCTGGCAACTCCCCTCGTTCTTTGTCCCTTTCCCTACCCCCCACAAACAGCAGCCGTTGCGCTCAATTTCGTATAGCCTCCCAACTCCCATATTTTTAAACACAAGGCCGCGATTCACTAGCTCCCAGAATGTCCTTCCTTTCCGGTGCCCAGACATCCGCGATGGCCGCTACATTTCCTCTAGTCGCTGATCCCGCTTATCCACTGCCAGCTTCCGCCCGCGTCCTCCCTCCCCCCCCCCCCCTCCTTCGCCGTCCCACCCCTCCCGCTTCCCCCCGTGCCGCGTGTGAATGGAAAGCAAACCCCAACCTTTTTCGCTCCCACACTGTCCCTACTACAGTCACGCAAACAAAACCGCGGTGATACACAGACCACAGAAACGGCCGCCTCCTTCCTAGGTCAACGATCGCTCGAGTCGAAATTGCGCCACTCCAACCCTAACCCCCCCCTAACCCCGTTCCCTGCTGACCCTCATCCCCCCGGCGGGATAGCTTGTGCACATAGTAATAATCATATTTCCTTCAACCCGCCAACGAGCCGGAGGGAAGCAACAAGCAGTGGTTGAGGCAAAACACGGTCAGTGGTCGATGACGTACACCGGACCAAACAGGCCGGCGACCGCCACCCATCCCGTCGAGGGTTCGCGTAAAGTTTCGTCCGCCCGACTAGGAGTATATTCACACTAGGGCAACCCTGACTACCCACCTGGATGTAATTGCGCACAGATGCATCTACAGACATCCTAGTGTGAGTATGCCCTGCCCTAAGCCAAGCAGCAGAGAGAGGGGACGAGCTCCCGCCCATCGGACGGGGCCACACAGAAGCGAAGGAGGAATCCGATGACGATGTGAGTGAAACCAAGCCGGAGAGAGCGGGTCAGAGCCGCGGAAAGCCGCGGAGAGCGGGAGAGAGAGCGGTGCAGTGCTGCCAAGAGCGGCCAGGGGCGGCCCAGGCAATGACGGGGAGCGCGAAATACAGGAGATAGACAAAAGAGACGAAAGACAGCAAACGGGAGACACGCGGAGAGAACGGAAAAAGCACACGGCCGCAGAAAGGAGAGAAGATGGCTCTTCTACGTGACTACATACGCGCTGGTTTTGTCGGTCGAGCATAACCCATCAGATAGTAATTTTGCCCAAACGATTGTATCGACGGTACAATCGTTTGTGCCTTTTCTCGGATAGTAATTGACGGCGAGCGGAGGACCCGTTGCCAAGGAGAAGAGGCACAAACGATTGTATCGACGTTCAGCGTAGTGCATCAGTTTTGCACAGACCTTCATATTGGGATTCTACCGGCAAGGACGGCCTGTACCACGCCGAAACATGATACTCTTAATGTTTTCGGTCACATCGACTCCCGGATTCAAGGCAGTTGTCCCCACCACCCCTGGATTCAAGGCAGTTGTCCCTTCAGGCTGTGTCGATTTGAACGTACCGTAATCTGACAGCAAAGGTAATTCCTCTACCTTCGCACTCCCTCGCCGGGCAAGACGGGGTCAAGAAAACAGTTGTCACGGAGAGCCGAAAACAGAAAGTGGAGCATACACAACTCTCCTCTCGCCCACTCTCCCTCCTCATAACTCAGTTCAGCAGCATTCAGTGTGCAGTCCCAGGCGTCTCCCGCGCGCACACGACTCCCTACTAACCTCCCTCCCACCTCCCTATTACCTCCCTCCTACCTCAATGTCTCTTCCCGGAGTCAACACAACCGCGAACAAACCTCCTTAGCGCACAACGAAACAATCTCGAGGTGCCTCCACTGTCTTTCTCTCCATCTTCGCACTCCGGCTCTTTCCCATCCCTTCCGCTGCTAAAAGGACAGGCCGCCCTCAGCCACAGTTTGTCATGCCCCTCTTTCTCTCTCATTCATTCAAGGAGCACGCCATCCATCTGACTCCACGTGCGGAGGAGAACCAAACGAAGACGAGCCATCAAATCATAATATACTGAGAGGGGGAAATTGTAAAAAGGACGGGCGGGAAGGGCAGGGGGGCAGGAGGAACGACGCACAAGGCATGTAGCTATATATGCTGGATAGACCGCCCCCCCCAAAAACCCGATGATGAAGTCGTCATTCGCTGCTGCCATAACAGAAATCACATGAGCAAAAACGATGAGGTAGAATCGAGGACGGAACTACGGATTCACGATGCCCTCCGCGCCGATTCCTTCCCATCTCACCATCACCATAACCCTTATGTCTCCGCACATGGCACCCTCCCGCCATCCTACCATCACAGTAACACCTTCCCGCCATCCCCCCATCACAGGAACCATGGTTGCATCATCCAGCCATTCTACCATTCGACCATCACAGTAAAACCGTGATTAAAGCGCCATCCCGCCATCTTACCATCACAGTAACCCCATCCCGCCATCTTACCATCACAGTAACACCTTCCCGCCATCCCACCATTCGACCATCACCGTAAAACCGTGATTAAGGCGCCATCCCGCCTTCTTACCATCACAGTAACACCATCCCGCCATCCCGCCATCACAGGAACCATGGTTGCATCATCCCGCCATCCCGGCATCCCGCCATTCGGCCATCACAGTAAAACCGTGATTAAGGCGCCATCCCGCCATCTTACCATCACAGTAACCCTTGTGTCTCCACATTATGGCGAACAGATAGAATGCGGACAGACACGTGTGTTCATTTGTCTTGCCTGGCATTGGTTTCCGATGCCTTGCATGCGATGGAATAAAAGCAGCCGATGCCTTGCATGCGATGGAATAGAGGGTTGAAGTGATCGAGTAACAGATGGATGTAAATACTCGGCCTGGTGGCTGAAGCGCGGTCTTCCCTAATTATCAGATCAGATAGAATAAAGCATAATGTTGCTGAGATTCGTCGAGCTTTTTCATAAGTAATCACTTTCAAAGATTGCAAGAATCGGATTGGATTGGATTGGATTGGATGAGGTAGTTAAATTAACACACTAATCACTGACTGACGCCCATCTATCTCTTCTATAAATCTATCTATAATAATAATAATCTAAAGATTAAGATTAAGATAATCTCCTCCCGTTCCCGTCCGGTACAATGGTGAGAGACCTAACAAATACAGCGGCTTGTCATCTGCTTTACCTTTCTGAAGCGCGCATGAGACAACCTGTCCCCGTAAAAACCACCTCTCTGTAATCGCCCGTGTGCAGGGAGCCTCGAAAGAAATGGATACGACGGGGAAGAGCGGCGAGTCACAACCATTTGCCCGGTTCATGATTGCTATACTTAAGATGTTCTCGAAATAAGGACCAGCAATCAAACTATACTAAACTCTGTTCCTTTTGTGCCGATGGAGAGTGCCGATGGAGAATCTCCTCCTCGCTGGGAATACCAGCCTCTGGTCCGGTCCTTCTGTCCAGATACTCGCTGCCTCGTGCGCATAGTGATAACCCGATCGTCAGCAGCAACAGCAGCAGCAACGGTAAATTACCCTCGACAATCAGACAGAGCTTTCCCTCCACAGCCACATCAGCCCGCCACGCTGACCCATCATCTGGCAGAACGACCCCTCCGTTGAAGCCAGGCTGCCACATCATCAAGCAGAACTATCCCTCCTCCGGTGAAGCCAGGCCGTGCTTAGTGAGTGTGTCAATAAACCGTGCCACTAGAACTATCCCTCCTCCGGTGAAGTCAGGCCGTCGTGCTTAGTGAGTGTGTCAATAAATCGTGCCACTCGGCGAACCTCACGTCGTGGTGTGCCGCGTGCCCTCGCTCCTTATACCCAGGCTCGATTGTCCGCAGAGCACGCTATATGGCTCGCGAAAAAGACTAAGCAATATGGTAAAAAAAGAGGTTCTGGTCAGGTTCCCGCCAGCAGCTTAAGGAATGAGAGACGTCCTGACACGAAGGAAGCGATGGAGAGAGAGCTAAAGGCGAATTTGAAAGAGAGAGGTGACGAAAGGAGAGGCGGCAAAATGAGGGGAGGGAGAAAAGAATGTCGCCAACCTGCTGTCGGCAGCAGCACTGAGAACAACCTTCTTCATAAGCAAGCAAGAAGGAGAAGCACATCTCACCTGCTAATCGCCAGCGTGACATTTCCCCCACCACCACCCCTCCCAATCAGATCAACCGCTCTCAAGCGCTGTAGTTGCACTCTGCCCCCTCGTTCGCAGTGTCGTCGCCTTGCCTGGCGCGCAATGCCTCCAGCCTGCGAGCCCATTTCGGTCAAAGAAGCGTGTTATGTGTGCCATCAACCCTGCTGCTGCCGTCTAGGCTCTTCTCTCCTCTCTTCTTGTCTTCTATCTCCATGTCCCAAACACCGTTACTGGCAAAAGAAGAGGAAGAACGAAGTACTGCCCTATCAGTCGTTTCTCTCCTCTCGATCTCCCAAACGCGGGTAATAGGAAAAGAACCACAGGGAGACACAGAGAGAGAGAGAGAGAGGGATCAAGAAGGCAGCGAACAAGCCGAACAGACCCAGACGAAGGGTGGTGTGAGCAGCAGCTCGCTACTACGGTAGGGGCCATTCGTTTCCATCAGCAGGGCTGCACATCAATGCGGTCAAAGACCGGCGTGCGGCAGACGGGGCATTCTGTCCATGTTCGCCCGCAATCGTTACACAAACAGAGATGTCGACAAGGAATCAGTAGCAAGGAGGCCTGCTCTCTCGAGCACAGCTTACAGACCGCGCCGCCACCCAATGCCGCCTTCTTGGTGTCCGTGCCAACGGCAACTTCGGGCACAAGCGGAACACCTTCCACTTCCTGACGTTGTTGCGACCCGCCGCCGGAGATCCCGTTGAGGTTTCCATCATTCCCGCGCTCGTCACTGTCCCCTCGGCCTCGCGGCATCCTCCCCCTCGGGTCACTCCACCGCCGCTCCTCTTCTTGCTGTTGCTGTTTCTGCTTACCTGCCACCTCCGCCATTCTCCCCTCGTCATTTTCTTGGGTCAGCTCCTCCAGAACACGGGTCGCCAGTCTGTCCATCACGTCGTTCAGTTCCGCAATGCTTTTCGCGCGAAACTCGCCGAGCGTATTAAGCACTGCCGCCGGCAAGGGGAAAGAAGCAGGGGGCAGCTTCCGCCCATCGTTAAGGTTGCGGCTCTCCATGGGCCCGCCTGCCACCGCGCCACTGCCTTCGACTCCTCCTCCTCCTCCTCCTCCTCCTCCTCCTCCTCCTCCCCCGTTCATTCCATCGCGATCGTCCCCTTGCATCGACTTCGATTGTCCCACCATCTCCGCACATCGCTTCACCCAAAGCGGTACAATCCCCGCCCTCTCCGCGCTCCTGGCCCGCGCCTCAACTGCCATAACACGCCATTCACTTTCCCCCTCACCATCGTCCTTTGCAGGAACCATCGCGGCCTCCTGTGCCCCTCCTCCTCCTCCTCCTCCTCCTCCTCCTCCCCCCACCCTCCCTGTCTCGACGACATCGTCGACAGACTGCCTACGCCTTGCTTCCGCCACAATCATCAGCATGGCCGCTAAATCCCGTTCCGCCTGATTAACCCTTTGGCGCAGCCTTCCGCTCTGTTCCTCGTGCTGCCTCATCTCCTCCTCGAGCCTCTTCGTTTTTCCCCTTGCCACATCCAACTCCTTCTCGATCAGCTCTGCTTCCTTCGAAGCAGGAATTCCCATCGCCCCTGCTGTCCCGGCTAGCTCCCCCCTTCCCTTGAAAGACGCCCTCCTTTCTACTGAGTCTTGCAGTTGACCTCTGGCAAGATTGGCCGCCCGCTGTGCTGCTGCTGCCAATGCGCTGGACGACGCGCCCATAGCCATCCCCGTCCCTGTGTCATGCCGATGGCAGTCCATTTCTGAGTGCACAGCCCTCGCAGCCTTGGCATCCGCACGTGCCTCTTGCAGCTCTTCCGCCTGCTTCTGCATCTGCAGCTGCAACAACTCTTTCTCTTCCATCAACGCTTCCACCTCCTTCTTCAGACTGTCGATCTCCGCCGATTTCGCCATCATCTGCGTTTTCAGGTCACATTCCATGCTCAATCGGTCATGATCGAGTCCCGACATGTCGATGCCCCTCCATTGCTGATCAAACGCTTCGAAAACGTTCCTGCTTCCGCTGCAATCATCGCTGCCTCCGCCGGCGAGAAGAAGGGGATCTACTACAGCGCCCCCGCCCGCTCCCCCACCCGCGGCAGGGCTGGGCAGCTCTCCCCCGTCGGTGGACATGGAGGCCTCCCCGAGAATACCATTAGCCTGCTCGAGTGTGTCCCCAACAAAGGCAAGAACACCGGACGAAGCATCGCTTTCCCCTCCCCCCAACGAGGAGCTGTCGTCCTTCCTGCTGCCGACGCCACCGCTACCTCCGCCGACAGCCGGACCGACGCCCCCCTGCGGGGGCGGAAGCGAAGACGAAGCTTGCGCCAAGGGCGTTGAAGGACCGGCAAATCCCCCACTGCCGTCTCCGCCCCCCGCGCTGCCGCCGACTCCTCCCGGGACGATGACACGGCGCAGCTGCCCCCCGGAGTCGCCGCCGCTGCCTGCTCCCCCAGCTCCCGCCGCCATGCGCGTCATCTGCGCCACCGTCAGCTGCGTTCGGAGCAACTGAATCTCCTCATGGAGTTTGTCGATCTGCTTCGTCTTCGCCTTAAGCTGCTCCTGCAAGATCCTGTTGTCGGCGCTGGAGATCTCCACTTCGAATGTCTTCTCGCTCAACTGCGCCCTGAGCTTTGCGAAGGCTCGCGCCGCATCCGACGGCGCCATCTCCGCCGTAGCCCCGTTCACCTTCTGCTCAATGACGCGCATCTGTCTCTTCTTCTCCTTCATCTCCTCCACGAGCCTCTGAATCTGGATCTTGTTTTGAATCTCTTGCTCTGGGTCGTCGCTCTGTTGCTCCGTCAGGCGCTTAAGGGTGCTGTCGCGGAGAGCCACCTCCCCGTGCAGCATCTTCAGCTGCTCCCGAAGCAGCTCGATCTGGTCGATCTGCGTTGTCCCCGTGGGAGGCGGCCGCCGCCTGACGAACAGATCGCCAGCGGACGTCGGCTGAGGAATATCCGCCCCGCGCCCTGGAGACATACCACCTCTGTCTCTTCCCATCCCCCCATCCATGTCGCTTCCCCGGCGGATCGCCGACTTGCTTCTGCTCACAATGTCCCTGGCGGCAGCCTCCCTCGCTTCCCTCGATACTGACGCCAACGCGTCCCCTCCCTTCAGCCTGAACCACCCTAACACCCCTCCTCTCTTCTTCTTCTTCTCCCCCTCCTTTCCCGCGCCACCTGCCCCCTCCTCCGACCCACCGTTCGACGGCGACGCCGACCTGCCATTCCCATTGGCCCCCGAGTCGACCGGCGGCATATCGAGAGTCAGCGGCTCTCGGTGCCTCTGCGCCAGATACGACAGCTCCTCCTCGCCAAAAGAATGCCGCCTCCTGTGGAGTATCATCTCCGGTTTCTCTTCCTTCGTGGCCACTGACGTCTTCGTCGACACGAGGATGAGCTTTGTCAGCCGCTGAATCCTACCCAGCAGCGCCGCCTTCGCTTGTTCCTCCTCCTCCAGTCGCGATTGCATCATCATGTGTCCGGCCTCAATCTGTTGCTTGAGAGCCGACAAGTCTTCGCCAGCAGGGGACCCGCTGGGCGGCAGAATGCCCCTCTTCAGCTGCTCCAGCTCCTGCTTCAGGTTGCTGATCTCCCTCTGGTACTTTTTTATCAACGATTTATCATCCATAATCACTCTGTTCCTCTCCGCCGACATCTCCACGTGCTTGGCCCGTCGCGCAAACTTCAGCGTGTTGTGCGTCTCTTCCACAGTTCCCGACGCCGGGGTTATCGTACAGATGAGCGATATGCGCCCTTTCCCACTAAGGGAGGACTGCAGCAGACGCGTGAGCTTGGAGTCACGATACGGAATGTGCGTAGCCCGCCCCTCGCTAAGTTTCGATACGACCGTGCCGAGAGTTAGCAGGCTTTTGTTGATGTACGACCCCTCCTTTCGTCTCAGACCGGTCGTCTCAGCTTTTGAGCTCTCAGACCCTGCCAGATCGATGAGGTTCAGCTGCGACAGCACCACTTGCTCGTAGCCCTGAGTCTCTCTGACGCTGCTCTCTATGGTCAGAGTGAAGATGGTGTGACTCCTGCTGCTAATCAGGTTGAAGTTGGTAGATCCTACGTGGCGATGCGACTCTCCGGCCGCAATTAACGATAACGCGTGAGCCGGCGACAGCACCACCTCCTCCTTTATGCCCTCCACGTAGGTTCCCTGAACATCTTCCCTTATCTTCAAGTTCTGCCCTGCCGGGTCCAGCAAATCGTTAATCACCTCATTGTAGATCTCCAGGTAGGACACCCGTAGAAGGAACTCTTTCCCCGGCGTCTCCTGGATGATCCCAAACACGTCCTTCACGGCTAGGGGAATGACTCCCGGTGACTTCTGATCGCCGTGCATCGTGTGCGTTTTCCCGCTGCTGGTGACGCCATACGCGAACACGGTGCCGTTCACCCCGTCCATGGCACCAGCGACCACGTGTTGAGCCGCCACGTCGTAAACGCCCCTCGTCGTCGTCGAGGGGCCGAAGACTTTGTCAAAAGGATAGGCCAAGTTGGGGTTCGTCTCGCTGCGGACAATATTGTTGCCGTCAGCATACCAAGCCACTTCTTCGCCCTTCTGGGCTTCCCGGACGCTCAGCGGGCGAAATCGGACGGTCACGGTCACGTTCTCGTTGGCTTCGAGGTACTGATCGCTCATGGAGCTGGACATTGTCGTCGATGTCGAGGGTGACATCATCGTTGCCGCAGAGACCCCGTTCCTGTAGTTGTTGCTGCCCATCATGAGACTAGGCGGGCGGCTGCTCATCTTGGCCGCCGACCGCGGACCCCCAGCCGGCCTGACCACGCCCCGAGGAACCCCTCCTCCCCCCAGCGCAGCCATTCCCCCCATCGGCGCCACTGAACCCTTCGCCGACGAAATCGGCCGCCTCTGCAATGGAGAACCGTTACGGAACATGATCCTCCTCCCCCCTTCCTACCGCCACTCGTTGCCCCAGCCACGCCAGTTCGACAGCTATCTTCGTGCTCCGGCACGTGGGCCCACCCACAACCCCGCACTCACTATATCCTACACCCCTGAACTCGTCCCTTCTCGTTACGCTGTATATTATGTAATGTCCTCCCTCCTCCTCAATTCTCCCTCCACCCTTCTCTCCACTACGACCTCCAACCCTCGTTCTTTCCCACCCCCTACCCCCTGTCTCTTATACACATCTAGATGTGTATAAGAGACAGCTCCACTACGACCTCCAACCCTCGTTCTTTCCCACCCCCTACCCCTCTTACCACGACAAGGCGTTCTTTCCCCCCCCTCTCCTCCCCCCCCCCCCCCCCCCCTCCTTTTCCTCTTCTGTCGTTCCTTGTCCTTCCGTTCCCGTCCGCGTCGCCACGCTTGTCACCTCTTCTTTCTCGCTTCTTCCGTCTTGGTCCAGACACCACCCGGTCGGTATCTTTCCAATGATGGGTTCACCAGACGTTCCTCCTCATCGCGCCTATCAATAGGATAAGCACTCTCCAAGGTAGTTTCATCATCGTATTCAGCCCCGCTTCTGCCTGTTCCGCCAGCCGCACTTTCATTGTCTTGGCGGAGGGATTCCTGGAGTCGACACTTCGCTGTCCACTCCGTTCCTACTCTCTCTTCCTCGCCCACGGTGCTTTTCGTTCCTCGGTCTTGCTCGTTGCTGGAGAAAGGAACGCTATGGAAACAGTGATAACTAAAGGGGAGAAACACGGACGGGGAGGGAACCGCGGGTAGACAACAGCGACGGGGAATTAATGATACACCATGGAAATCGCACTCTCACCGAAGAGACGAAAACGATCATCAGGAGGAGAGCTGCAATGCAACCCAGCAATGATAGGAATCTGACCAGGCGCGCAGCGAGAGGAGCAGCGGCAACAAGAAGCAGGAGAAGGAGAGACAGACAAAGGAAGGCCGTTGGGGAAGGAATGGTGATGAGAAACGGGCAGCAGATCGCTGCCACGTAAGCATGCGCTCGCACTCTCGCTTGATTGACTCCTTGTGGCAATAACGTCCCCGCAAACCACGTCGCCAGAGCCACCAAACCATGGTGGAAGTGTATGCTGTCCAATTGGACAGCACTCCCGGCCAGAGGCCGGCTAGCGGCCGGCGGACGGGACGGGGGGGGAGGTTCGCCGGCGAACGACCGGCGGAACGCGGCACGCCTGGAGAGGTCGAGCGGGCGGCGAGGACGGAATATTGCCCCCAGTCTCAGGAAATGAGCGGGTTGTTGTTCCTACGGTAGGGCTCCGCAACCCTTCTTCCGCCCACAAGCCTACCTACGTGTACGCTTTCCCGTACTGCCCGCCCAACATAGCCCCTTCCAACCCGAACCAGCTCATATCACGTCACAACTAATCCGCCCACCTACCCGCGCTGCCCGGAGCCGGCAACGGAGCCGGCACCAGAGAGCATTGATAGGCCCGCCCGCCTACCCGCGCTGCCCGGAGCCGGCAACGGAGCCGGCACCAGAGAGCATTGATAGGCCCGAAGAACAGACGAAGGGCCTCGCTCCACCGCTCTCGACATGCACAAAAGACAAAAAATGATGGCGGTGAATCTTTCCATGTTCTAGCGAAAGATTCGCTCTCGTTTTGAAAATGTCAAGAGTAGTGGAGCGAGGCCCAAACGGTATTGTTGCGATATATTGAGCTTTAGAGTATGACTGCATCTGGACAGAGTGGACAAACTTCCGCAAGATGCATTCAGAATGTTGGCGGATGGCGAATGATGCGATCAGGCCATTACCTGAGCTGACCGAGGCCGTGAAGGAATGATCCCCCCCCTTCCCCCGGGCTTGACGACATGGATTGCAAGGGCTCATACGTTCGTACCCTGACGAAACAGCCTCCCTTCACTTCACACATTCGGATTCGGATCGGAAATGGAGCCCCGTTCTGTGGGCCTCGCCGCGCCACTCACCACCATGCACAAACGACGAAAGTAAAGTAATAGCTGCGTATCTTACCACGTTCTGGATGTTGGGCTTCGCTCCGCTACTCACCACATGCAAAGAAGACAAACAATATGGCGGTGCATCTTCATATTTTCTAGCGAAGATTCAACCTCTGTCTCGGTTCCAAACGGCATGGGTGAAACAACAAAAAAACAAAAATCAGACAAGACAGTCGGGCTCACCCAAATCAAACAAAAACCGTCACCAACGGTGTATTTGTCAAATCAGATGCATCCGACATACATGGACCAGCTTCCAGTCACGATGAGTGTAAAAAATTGATACGATCTTTGGGAACCGTAGGAGGGGGCCCATTGACGCGCGCCGCGGTGCGTAGCAGTTTTGCCGGCGCTCTTTCGTCACTTTCCTGCGAACGCAGCAGGGATGGGAGACGGCCACCACCGCACGCCAATTGATGATGCCAACCATAGCCAAGTGCTAGGGAGGTATAGGGGCCGGTAAGGAGTCACCAGGTCCTGTGGAGACATAGTGAGAACTCATGTGAACTAGGTGAATGTACGCCCTCTGGCGCCCGTCGAACTTTCAAAGCGACTATCGAAACATAGGAAGGGAGGATGAGCGGATGAGCTCTGGCTATGCGGAGCCCGAAAGGAGGCCCCATCCACGCAGGGTAGCAGGTGGAAGCAGAGAGGAATGTCAATTGCAGGGTAGCCCTCATTCGTAAGGAAGGATGGGCTGAAGGAAGGAAACCCTGGTGGATGGGACCCTGGCGATCCCTACGATGCTTCGATATCGCGGACGATGCCAAGGAACGAGACGAACTTAGTCTTCGAAAAAAGCAAGAGGAGTAGCCTACCAAAAGGATGGGCGACACTGAAGTTAAGTAACGGTCAAGGACGACCACTAGCAGCTGCAATGACTATGCTTAGTGTCTTCGAAAGAATACAGGTATAAACCCCAATCCATCTCCTACTTTCTTGTTGTTGTGGCTCTTTACATCGTATTGTGGTCTTGTTGATTTGAGCCTCACACCTGCGAACTTTGAGTTTCCTGTAGTGTTCATCTGTAAGAAGTATTGCCCGGGGCGTTGACTTTCGTTGGGGTCGGTCCTAGGAATTCTGGAAAAGAGGTGGACATAAATTTTCCCCCCTTCTCTTCACAGGGATTGGACACCCTAAAATTAATTAACATTGGGTGTGAGTTTTGCGTTTAGAGATGGAGCCCTTGCCGGACCCTGAAGAGGAACGAATTCGGTTGATGGTGGAAAAATGTATAGAAGATGGAATTTTCCCTGAGGGTCTCGACCACGACACTTGTGTGACCGAGGGTCGCTTGACAAAAATCATGCTCAATCCAAAAGTAGATGATGTGGCCGTGAGATGGTTGAAGGAGAGAACGGTGGTGATCATTTTTCAATCGGAATCTAGAGCCTTACCAAATAAAATCAAAGAAATGCTGATTCGTATCTACGAAGATGGGTGGTACAATAATCCGCCAGTAAATCCCTCGCTGAAAAGAGTGAGGGTAAAGTACGAGGGTGCGAATGTTTTCTCATACGTCGCAACGTCGAAGGATATTGATGACTTCATGGTCAACAAAGAAACAGACACGAACATTTTCAGGGATCTGAATGCGCCTGGGAGTGTAGATGTCTGTTATTCCATTCAATTCAAGAAATGGGCTACCAAAAGAGAGTTGGACGAAAAAAGAGTTCAAGAGGCTGCCGAAAAATTATGGGTAATGGCAATAAGAGTCTCGCTCAGAGCTGTTTTCCATTTCCATTGGGCTGTTGAAACCTCCATGGCCAAGATAATAAAGATGTATCCTCCACAAAAAGATAATCATTTTCCTCGCTTAATGAATGTTAAGATGGATTTGGCCCCAGAAGCGAGGCAAACGTGGAAAGAAAAATTGGAATTTCAAAAGGATGGGGAGGAATTTAAACTAGCATTCGTTTCACAGGCAACGGATTGGTGCAAAAAGTGTAAGTGGTTTTACCACACAGAGGACAGCGTGGACTGTTCACACCACCCAGACCACTATAAGGCACAGGGAGCACCAACAGCGGCGAGCTCAGGGCATTCACAAAGGCAGAATAGTCAATATTCTGCGGGCCCACCCCGACCCAGACCCGCCCCACAGGCCCCAACGGGTCAACCACCTATCACGCAACACCCCGCCTCCTGGGACCTCCTCCAGCACGACCACAGCGGACGGGCAACTTTCCTTCCTCGGGCGCTGGTCMCYCAAYCCCCCCCCCCCCCCGCCCYYCAAGGTTTCACATAGTTGCCTCCTCCTCAGGATCTTCCAGGTCCGCCTCCTTCTCAAGCCACGACTCACCACTCACAACCACAACACCAGGTGCCGCCCTTGTTCTTCCCTGTGGGATACAGTGGTCCAACCGGTTTCCCAATACCAAGCTTTGGGGTGCAGATGGGACCAGGGATATTTAACTATAATTTTGCTATGTCGAACCCAATTTTGGGCGGAGGATCTCCCACTTTCAGTAGGAGCCGCAATAACCCAGTGTATGAACCGGAACCACCGCCACCTGGGGTACCATCTCACCCACCAGTTGGGATACCTTCGACCCCCATTGGGGTTTCAAGCATGCCTTCCAAAGGTAAACAACCGATGGGGCACAGAGAGGGGAGTAAGGGTAACAGTCGGACCTCAATGCAACAACACCACACACCACTAAAGGTTGTTGGACCTACAGAGGAGGAAGTAGGGACCTCTGGCACCAAGGGTAGGAATAAAGGAGGGGAACACCAGGGGGAAGATGAAAGCGCAGGGGAAGATACCTTCCCTGCAAACACCCCGGCGAGGGGCAACAAGTGCCCGACTAAGTAGAAACGCACTCGGGTATAAAGTTTTGGGGAAAAAAATTCGTCGAGATCCCTCGGGTTCTCTGAAGGAGAATCCTCAGCGTCGTCGATATTGCGAGCGTCAGAGCTTATGTGGCAGTTGAACGCAGAACAGGGAATTGTTCTCAACAGGGCCAACACACTGGGCGGAATGACCTCGATTCCAAAAGGATCAGTGACATCTCTAAAACGTATCGTACCGATCATCTCCATTCCAGACACGCAGGAAACACCA